CTTAGGCCTGGGCTTGAAACATAAGCCCTAGCCCAGGTCTATATGGGCCTAAGCCGGGCCAGGCCCGATTTCAGGCCAATGTCACTAATATATAAAACATTACATATCTATATATTAAATGGCATAACATGCATATAAACTTATTTTATACATTATATAATATAAAATATTACATATAATATAAATTATACATATCATGTTATAATATTTATATAAAAAATATATAATATAATGTAAAATAACATGTATACATATGTATACATTATACATAAAATGTGTAAGTTTAAATATATGTGGGCTGTGCCGGGCTGAAATGATCACCCCTATCCCCAGCTTATCATCATGGAAATCATTCACAACCGCATCATCACAAGGATTGGAGACCATTGGAGGAACAGTAACATCCTCCTTTGAACCTACAACCTCGTATTGACGTTTCACTCATTTGCATCAACCTTCACTTCCTCTGTAGCTTGTTTCACTGAGGCATCATCCTGATAACCGGTCTTGAGAAGTCGAGGCCCATGTCTTTTGTGATTAACAATGTATGGGGAAGGAGTAAAAAACGATGGAGAATCTGGAAGAGGAGTTGCCTCAGGAGTGGTATAGAGACTCGGCGATGGCCGGTGAATTGTTTTTTCTGTGGATGGCTTTCGGCTCTGCAGCTTTGAATTAAGAAGTTTGGGAACGGATTTTGGAGCCCCTGGTTCTAACAGCCTATCTAAAGTAATCGCCGTAAACGTCGGCAGCATGGTTTTGCACCAATACACGTAAGGAATAGCTTAAAAGAGTAATATTTGAATCAGAAGAAGCTATATGACAAAACCGTTGCAGATGAAGCCGTTGATGCCTTTTGCCTTTTGCCTTTTGGGGTTTTTCAGTTGTAGATGAACCATCACAGGGAGAAAAGCATTAAACCTATGTCGCCGGTCGTTAGAAGAAACTTGTCTTCACCGGTGATGCCGTTTGCCTTCGCCGGTTGGAGAGGATAGCAGAACGAAAGGTTTAGAGAAAATGGAGAGACACGGGAAAGAAGAGAACAAAAAGTTTTTTCATAAAGATACATTGAACGAGGGTTTGGCTAACGGAATTCATGGTAAATGCCCGTTTACCATCCCCACACGAATGAGGAATGCACACACGCTTATGGACGCATGTCATTCTCATTCTCTCATGATGTTCGAACGGTGAACCCATCAAGCTTTGATTGAAGCCGAACCCCCATAAACACCTATAACACAGGAGTAAGTTTTACTAATTGATTGTTTCTTTCTACGGTTCTACCATTTTCTAAATTAGCTGTGGGATCAAAAGTCTACATTGATGTAATAAATGTTAGTAGAAATTGACATTGTCACTAAAATGAGTTTGGATTTGCGATCTGCTCCTTATAGAGCATTTCTCACATGGACCAAAGGTCCAAAGTATCGGAAATGCTAAGTGTATTAGAAAAACAAATTTAAGTAACGCATCAATATATGCTTTGGATACACATAGATATGGACGAAAAATTAAGATACATATAGAAACACATGAAAACACTATAGATATTCCATATTAAATTATAAACATACATCAATAACATTAAATATAGGGCTAAATGAGTTATATATACATTTTTATAAAGAAAAAATGTCATAATTATCAATGTACGAAAACATAAGGGTATTCTCTAATAAGGTTATAACTACAAAATATAAGTTTAAAATTTATTTAATGAAATATTTTCTATAATTGTTTAAACAATTATTTATTTCTCATTCAAATAATTATTTTATTTTTTATTACAAAAATTAAAAATAAAATATAACAGAAAAATAATTTTATGGATGTGGTAGATCTCCCATTGATTTACAACATGATAAATATTATGGTTAGATCACACCAAAAATTAGAAAAAAAAAACAAATATTACAATATAAAAAATAAATATTTTACAATAAATTTCAATAGATCTATGAATTAAAAATTGGAAAATTTTATTTTAAATTTACAAAAAGTTTAAAAATAAGTATAGTTGAAAAGAATAAATATTTTTACTCAAAAAATTACAAAAAGAAAAAAATGAATATTTTAGAAATTTCAATAAATCTATGAATATGGTAGATCACTCATAGATTGATGACACAATTATTCTTCATGGGTAAATTACATCAAAAATATAAAATTTTAATTTTTTTATATATAAGCATTTCCAAGCATTAAAAGACACAAAACACTGTAACATACTATCGAATAAATTCAAAAAAAAAAGTAATTATTTTTTAAATTTTTGTAAAAATTTAAAAAATAAAACCTCAAAAATCTTGATTTTTGAAAGTTGTTTTTGGGGGTTTTTTAAATTTTACAATCCAAAAATGTGTAGGGATGATTTGGTGAATTTGGAGATGGACAAAGAGGGTTCTTCCACAGAAAGCACTTGGATTCAGGAGACAGATAGAGTTGGGAACAAGATATACAAAGAGGGTTTAAGTGGACAGAAATCTAGATAATAGGAATGAACCTACTTGTTATTTTTCTCTGGGCATGAAAAACCGTTTAACCAAAATTAAATTGAATGTCAAGAAGGCAATAAAAGCAATTAATTAAAATGCCTCACACAGTTTTCACAACAAATCAACCAAATATAAGGTTTATACCAAAGGATGTAATACAGAATTTCCTTACTGAAATGTAAAACGGTGCCAAAAAAGAGTGAACGGAGAAATGATCCCACCTTCTGTTGTATATAAAATGGTCTTGAAAAGAGATACCACGTCGAAAGACAAAATAAGTGAACTTTTTAACTTGAAGCTATCTATGGGAGGAAAAGAAGACAAGCAGAAAGATTACAGATCTCTTTGACCATGAGGTTGTCAAGGTCATTCCTGGTCAATTATGAACTTGTCAAGCTCTTTACAGATCCCCTTGACCTTGAGGTTGGAAAGAGGGTGTGAGGAGGGAAGGATTACATGGAAGATTGTGCTTATTTTTTAGTTTCCTAGCTAGTATATATGCATGGAATTCAAGATTGCATGGAAAAATTATTTGTGTGGAGAGAAAGATGGTTGGTTACTTATTGAAAACAATAAGGTGTTGTTCGTTTTTCAAAATGTCACTTATTCGGGTAAATGCATTTATCTAAGTAAATATTTCTTAAGAAATACTTGCTCACTTATTCATGTTCTCTTTCCTATTTCCCAAAAACGAGTGGGACCTAAGGGAAAGATAGGTGTGTGGATCTTTTATGGCATATTGGCTACCCACCAAAAATAAACAAAAGTAAATGGTAAAATATTTGAATGGCAATTTATAAGTAGATTTATGAAGGACACGAAAGAGTGGAAGGCATAAGATAATTACTTTTTTTCTTTTTTTATAATTTTATTTTTACACATGGTCAAGATGAGGAGAAAAACCCAATTTGTTGAATTATATATATTTTTGATTTTTTTATGAACTTTATGTATCTTCTACATTTTCTACTTTTTTATTTAAATATATATATATATAATTTTTAAATAATAACCCACTTTTTATACATCCTACAAATGATTTTCTTTTTTTATTGGAGGTAAATACCACTAACTTTTTTTTGAAAATAAATATAACCACAGTTAAAATTTATACTTTTTTTCAATAGGTAGATGCATGTCCAAAGAAGAAAACTTTTTGTTTAAAAGTAGGAAATCTAGGCCTGTTTACATTATTGAGAATTGATCTCATGGGCCTGTGTATTCATTGCTCATTCAAATCATCATTTATTCAAACCTGCCACCAACAATGGGCTGGGCTTGTTGGACAGTCTAACTCATTTGAAGTACTAATGAAAAAATTATGTGCCCGTTTGGGAGGGCTTTCAGGACGCAGTAGTTTTGGAAAGCCGACATAGGCTTTCCAAACACTCAAACCAGTACTCAAATATGAAGCTGCTCTAATTAGCTTCAGGATTAGCTGAACGAACTATTCAGCAGGCTACTAAACCAATTATAACACTCCACATAAGTCATAAAATAAATGAATACATGAGGTCCACAAAGACAACAATCATTCAATCTCTCAATATGGGTTTCATATATTCAGCCCTGAGTCAGAATTTGTAGGCTCAAAGTACATTTGAGGTAGGTGTCAGATCGGAATTGATGTCAATTCAAGGACGGATATGAATGCATAAAATGTGGGTTTTTCAGATTTTAAATGTTTATAGCTCTACAATGAAAATCAGAAATCTGCATTTGACCTATCCATACTTCTCTGTATATTTTTATTACTAGTGCGAGGCAACACCAATACAACTACTGCAAATCAATTAACACAAACACACCCTAAACGCAGCAGCCCTCCCAAACAGGCTATATGATTGCTTTCCGCTTCTGCTGTCTTTCGGTTGCCTTTGACCCTTTGTCATGACATGAGTCATTGCTTTGGGCCTTTGGCGGTTCTGAACCACCCTCCCTTGTCCTAATTTAAATGAGTGATCCATGGACCAAGTCCTTTTGCCCAAATTAGGACTATAAAGTCTGACCCAATTATAATTGAAACAGTTCCGACCTATAGGGCCAGTAATTGGGACTATCAAGTCTGGCTCAATTATAATTGAAAGCTATATTTTTAACCTATAATTTAACAAAACAAACTACTAATTTGTTAAACTGACACATTTAAACATAGTAATATAATAAACATTGCAAGTATATCTTGAGAAAAATAGGTCTATTTTTGTGGCGAAAGATAAAAATGGGTATTAATTGCCAAACCAATCCAATAATAATCGGGACACATCATGTATAGCCAGACTCTATATAATATATAATTGGATTGGTTTGGTATGGAACGGATCTTCCCAATTCATTGATGGTCCTACCTAAAACTTGGGTCCATTTAATTCACAGTCAGAATTGAAATCAAAATTAATTGGAGTCATAATAGTCTATTCCCTCTACTTATTTGGTTCAGACAGGAATCAGAATTAATTGGAATAAATTCTCATTCCCAATGAAGGAGGAGGGAATGGCCATTTTACCAGGAATGAGAATAAGATTTCAATTTTGTTCAACCAAACAACTGAAATCATAATGAACTAAACACTCAACCATTCCAATTTTGATTGGCGATTTCCAGGTAATCATGATCAAACAAAAACAATTGAATACTCTTTAGGACAGTTCGCCCTTGAGGAAGGCTTCCTATAAATAGTTGCTCATGCAAGCCCAGAAGATCCAATCAGAACCAAAACCAAACCCCTCCCCTCTCCTCCTACCGGCCGGCATCTGATCTTTCCGGGGAAAAATAAAAGTCCGATGAATTGGGAGGGGGCAAGAGAATTATCAGAAATCCATGAGGAAACACAGCGGTGACCCTCGATGGAATCGCACATGGCCACCACTTCTTGTGGGCTTGGCTATTCTCCTTGTATCTTACAAAATAGGATCAGTTGCCGGTAATCCATATCTCTCTGAATCTCGCTTCAACTGTTGGATTTTAATCTCATTAGATATTAAATCCAATGGGTTTGATTGATCAATTACATGACAACTATGCTAAATTATTTTTGTTTGAGTCTTCACCTTTTTCTTCTCTCTCTGCAAATCAGAAAGTAGAATGCCTGCTCGTTGCATGTTTCCTTTGAAGACCGTTCTGTTGCGGTTTGAACTTTAAAAACGTTGGTGAAGATTAATGGTTGGGTTGGGGGAGCAGGTTTGAGTCTGAGAACGAGAACATGAAGCGGTGAGGGATTTAAAATTATGCCAGTATTAGCTTTTGTTACCAGTCATAAAACTTCAACTAGTTGTAGGTGATGATCAATTGAACAACGAATGACGTGTTAAAAAAAGAGCTTAAAACCTACACATCTTCTTCTTCTTCTCTCCATTTTCTGTAAAGAAGAAGAAAAGGGGGAAGATGAGGAGGGGCGTGAACATATATCAAATTGTTTATTTTTCTGAGAAGGCTCAACTCTTCAAGAAGCTCAGCCTATGCAGAGTAGCATAACATGGCAACCAGGATTAACATAAATAATAAATTTTTATAAATTTAACGAACGGGAAAAGGATGGTATTGGTGTACCAATATTCGTAGCATTTCCGTAGTTGTCACCGGAGTTGTAGGTCACGGGCTTCATCTTTCTCCACATCTCTGCAACACTTGTATGCATCGATTAATCTTTCCAAATACATTCTACTGAGCCATCCAAAAATTGAAATCGAATGCGGTCAATCGCTCCAGTGAAGAAATCGACCAAAGGATAAAGCACAGTTGTGTCCTGTGAAGAATTGTCACTAGATGTACAGAATATTTCAGGAAGTGGAATATTCCGAGTACTATGGCCGCTTGCAACTGTTAGGGTTAGGGTTAGGGTTCGGGTGTTTTCTCAAAAGTAGAGGGAGTGTAATGAGTTGCTCAAGTAAGGGCAAAAATAGTATTTTGCAAATAGCTTGTCTAAGAATAAAAATGTAATTCTATACGCCATCCGTCTTGATCATTAACGGAAGGAAGTTTTTTGTCGATTTTTTTTTAAAAATAGAAGAGAGATTTTTACTAAAATGAAACTATAGAAAAGGTTTTCATGATTGTCAAAAACTTCAGAAGAGCTTTTTAAATTTTTATCAAACCATAGCCATAGGGTGGATCCACACCCAAGCTCTTTTTTGGTTCTCTGTTGCAAGAAAACAACTTCTAAAAAATATCACTTATATAAGCATGAGAACAGGTGATTATATTCATAGGATCAAATTTTCAACTTTAATTTAAATGAACCACATTGTCAGCACACCTTTGAGTTCGGATCTGCTGACCGCAAAACACTTGCCACATCCTGGCCAAAAAACACGACAGCTACACTGTTGTCAGCATGTTGAGACGCCACACCTTTCAGCAACACTGTCCTGAGCTTGCCTTCAACCATTCAAGTAGCTAACCAATCCTCGTTGGATTTATTTGATCAGCGTCAGGTTCAGAAAAAACTAGCTAGATTCGAATTAAATTAGATTTAGACTGCATTTGGCATTGTTTATTTTAAGGACTTATCTTTTTTTTATATTTAAAATGCCCCTATGAACACTAAGTTTTGAACAAGGAGATTTATATTTATATCTATCTATTGTATATATATATATATTAAAATAAGAAAGTCTAGAAATTTTTTTCTTTTTTAATTTTTTTAACCCATATCATTTTTGAAACTATCAATTAGAAACTCTACTTTCCCCAAAAAAAAATCCTAAAATCTCTCTCTCTCTCGTTTCAATAACCTAAATAATCTAATATCTTAAAACTTCTCCTAAATAACCTCTCCCACTATCCCCAACTTTCTCCTAAATTATCTCTAATTTAGTCATAAAAATTATCTCTATTTCTTATTTATATTCTCCCCCACTTTTTATTTCATCTATCTAAAGAAAGTTTGAATTAAAAAATTTAAGAATTATTTAAATATTCTAACAAAATTATATAATAACTTTAAAATATTTATTAAAAAGACAAAAATTAATTATAATTAATTTAATAATATTCATATTATTAATAATTATATATTTTTACAAAATTCATCACAAAATTATGTACAAACAATATAAATTATGCTTTTTGGATTATCAAATCTAAATGTTATTCAAATAATAAAAATCTAGCATTAAAAATGAAATATTAGTTAAATATTTCAATAACTAAAAATCTTAAATAACAAAATATTAAAATTAATATTTTAAATCAATTAATAATATATTTTAAAAATTTACTAAATAACTTTCAATTATAAAACATAGATTAAGATTTTAAATAGCTAAATATTTTAAATAATGAAATATTTAACATAACGAGGTTTTAAATAGTTAAAATAACAAAATTATGTATTAATAGTGATGAAGGGAAATTTGGCCCGACCTCGCGATCGCCCGACACGTGGCAAAGGCAAGCAGCTCGGGACAGTAGAGCACCCAAAGCGAACATCGGAAGCAAGTCCAAACTCACTACC